GTCCCAAATTTAATGACAAAAACCTACTGCAGGTGTTTTTTTTCTTAAAATATTTTGCTTTTTCAGCATGTGAGTGTGACAGGTGACACTGGCAGCGCTCACCCCTTGACCCTGGCTCCATACAGGAACCCTGATCAGTCTGCCTGTGCTTTCCCTCTCTTTTCAAATCACAGAATCAATCAAGTTAGAAAAGACCTCTAAGATTGAGTCCAACCCATGACCTAACACCACCATGGCACGAAGTGCCACATCCTCAAAGTCTCTCCTTAAACAGGGATGGTGACTCCACCACCACCACCCTGACCAGCACATTCCAGTGTCTAATCACCAATTCCATGAAAAAAATCTTCCTAGTGTCTACCCTAAGCCTCCCCGGCACAGCTTGAGGCTCTGGCCTCTTGTTCTATCATTAGCTGCCTGGGAGAAGAGACTGTTCCCTACCTGCCCCCAACTTCCTCACAGGTAGCTGTAGACAGCGATAAGGTCACCCCTGACCCTCCTCCAGGCTAAAATTTCTCCACAGTCGCTGGAGAGGAGTGTGAGGGGATAGTCCTTTATGTGCCAAGCTGCTTCTGCTGTTCCAGAAACTTGCGGCTGGTTGCTTATTCCCACCTGATTTAACCTGGTTGTTGGTTTGAGGTATGAAAGCTGATTTTAGACTTTCTGCTGCAGCTCAGCCCATCACCGTATTGTGGGAATGTGGGATAATTAAAGCACAATTATTTTTCTAATGATATGTAACTGAAATTACTCAAATTTAGTGAGGATTAGCCCAGACTCATCACAGCCATGACAGGACAGGTCAGCAAAGAATTCCCTTGAAATCTTGCTTGTGCAGTCCCTCATCACTGATGAGTTAGAGGTATCTCCACTGCTCCTAAGAAACTCCTGTCATGCCACATGCTGATGTGGGTTTTTTTAAGGCAGATTCTAAAAGCACTACAGTTTTTGCTGCTCACAGTGTGGTTCAAGACAGGTGGTCAAGGCTTAGATTTGCTCAGACCCCTGGAAAAAAACCTCAGAACATAAAATAGCTGTAATATTACCCCCCCCCCCCAAACCCTTAAATACTGCCACTTAGACCAGATCCTGGATATTTTTCAGGGAAGATCATGGAAATGCTAATATAGTAATCTTCTCTGATTTATTTTACCAGATATATATGTGTGTGTATATATATATATGTATTTACCAGACAGGTGCACTGGGGAGTGTGTGGTGTATGTAGATCTAAAGGAACATGCACTGACACTTTCAAGGCCAAAAGTTTCCTGCTCTCAAATTTCTATTTCTTTTGTCATTAAGAAAATACTGCCTTAGGATTCTGCAGACATCCAGTGGTGGCTTTGCTCCAAAGACTTTTGAGTCTTCTCAGGTGTTAAGGGCAGCACTGGGGAGAACTGTATGAGGGAAAGGATGGAAAGGGGATCTTAGGTGAAAGGAGATCTCTTAAGGCAAAAGGTGAAAAGTCTTAAGCTTTGCTATATGACTTTCAGGGTTTGTTTTCAGGGTTGTCTTTGCATGACAAATGTTATTATCTAAGCAAGGGGTGGAGGGGGGCAGGAGGAGGGGATATTATTTCTCTGGGTTGTTCTCAGGGATGTTACAGGGTTTAGGGGTTACAGCAGAGTGACAGGTTAATGGTTGGACTTGATGATCTTTAAAGGGCTCTTCCAACCTTGATGATTTTGTGATTTTATCAGGGCAGCTGGGATGAAACTGCTCTAGAGAACTGCAAATAAACTTCCAAATATTAAATCTCCTTGTTCCTGTGGAAGTTGGATGGGTCCCAAACACTGGGAAATAAGAAATAGAGGTATGTCCCAGATCCCTGGCAGGGCCCTGAATGTGCCGACACAGGGCCACGAGCACAGGCCCAATGTTGACAATTCATCAGCGTTGTCAAAACTGAAGTGAACTCCCAGGGAGTCACTTGCAGCATGGTCAGTGGTGCTGCGTGCCTGTGTGCATGCAGCCTAGAAATTCGGGATATGCGTGGCGCCTTGATGTGGCTGCCAGGGGATGTTGGAGATGCGTTGCTGACTTTTTGGTTTTCCCCTGGGCAGAACCTGGAGCCGTGCCCAACAGATAAGGTCAGTCACCCCTGGCAGCTCTCTGTTAACTGTGTGTGAGGACACAGACAATAATGCCCCTTGCTTGCTCACTTGCCTAAAATAGGCTTTTGCAGCCTGTTTTGTCCAGCAAGGAGGACCACAAAAATAGAAATGAAAATTATATGTGGCCCTGACCTCTTCTTTCTGTTCAAGTGTGCTTAATCCTGACATCCAGGTGTGAAATCTACTTATTACTCCTGGCAGTGAGACATCACCGATGGTTGATGGATAGTTTCTTCTTCTAGGGTGGATCCATGGTTTTCTGTATACATTCTGTCCCCATGAAAGGCTCCTCCATGGAGCTGAAAAAGGTCAAAGCTGTTGTATCTTTTCACCCCCTCCTTCTCTGGAAGGAAGACAGTGACAGTAGGAGAAAGGGGGTGGTAGACAGGCTGGTGAGGGTTGGTCTTGGGCTTTGGCCAAGCTGTCTCCTGATGGATGTGCCATGGGCAACCTCATGCAGGGTTTGATCCTGCATTGCCCTGCAGTTAAAAAATGGGTATTTAACATAAGTGAGGCAGAAGAGTACTTGAAGTCTGTGGGTTTTCCCCCATTTTTCGTGTTTCAGTGGATTTGCTACTAACCCTGCGTAATGTTATAGCACTCCAGTGAGCATTTAAGATACCAGCCCAGAGCTGGGATGGCCATATCCATACATCTCCTTTCCTGGATTAAATCTGAGCAGCATGTTGCTTGGATGAATGAGGCTCTGTTCGTCCCAAAGCGTCACCTCCACACCCAGAACAGCTTTTTTTGAGAAGTTTGAAAGTTCCTGGTCCAACAGATGTAATTAGATGTTTTTGTTTGTGTTGATAAAGCAGCACTTGGTACTCAGCCTGGATAAGCACCTGAGAGAGCTGTCAGAGAAGATTGATACCCGTTGAAACTGATAAGAGCAACCAAGGGTTGCTGTGTGATATAAGGACAACATGAATTTCTGTTGCATTTCCATGTATCCATGAGGACAGGCTGCAGATCTCTGTTTAGCATGTGCTTGCTGTTGTTCAGGGTTGTTGGTAGGTTTTGTCTCTTTAGAACTATTTCTTGCAAAAGCAGATAAACCAAAACATGTTTTCTCCTCAATGAATATTTATGGATTCCCAGTCTTCCAGCATACTTCTGCATGTGTAATTAGGCTGCAAGTTGAGTAAGTGAGCTTGGAAAACTACAAATGTAAGAGCCTGGGGAAAATGCTTGATGTTTCTGGTTTATTTGGGTGCTTGCTTTTTAATAATAAATTACGCTTTTTTAGATGAAACAGCTTGTGTTTTCCAAAAAGATGTGTCAAAAGCAGTAATAGCTGGGACTGTTGCACCAGCAGACTTGGCTAGCTGGGTGATGCTTTTAATCACATGTTACAGCATCCAAGTGAACTTTGGGAGAAGTTGGGTGATGTAACCAAAGCCTCTGAACCATCTTATTTAGTTTAGGGGGAGAAGAAGGCAATCCTTTCCCTCCCTTTTACTGCAGTCAGCTCTGCTCTCAATTTGAGTTGTGCCCTTTAACCCCCATTGTGGGCATGGCTTGAATTCCTGTTTAAGGATTATATTGGTGTTTTCATGTGAGTTGCATCATCAGCTTATTTTTATGAGAGTAGTAGGGTTGGGCTTGAAGGTGCTTGTGGTCATCCTGTGACATGGGATTGCAGCAGTTGTTACAGGCTAGGGTTTGGAAGTCCAGATCTGGAAAGGAAACGAAAGCTTTATCTTAATAGCTGTACCTCTGTGTTACATCTCTGTACTTTTCCACAGCTTGGTCTCTGGAAAAGTTTTGGTCTTCAGTGGGGTTTTTCCATGCTGCCACTATGCTCATTTAAATTAGAATTAAAACTGCTCATGTGTTTCATGTGTAATTTTGGTAGCAGCTCAGTCTTGGGGATTTCTGGAGAGTGTGAAGATGAGGACTTAAGGATGCCAGGCTGGAAGTTTTCAAGGCTAGGCTGGATAGGGCTTGGAGCAACCTGGTGTAGTGGAAGGTGTCCCTGCACCTGGTAATGGGGGTGGAACTAGATGAGCTTTAAGATCCCTTCCAACCCAAATCGTTTCATGGTTCCATGCACAGGCAGTACCTGTGGTACTAGTGATGCTACAGGGAAGCTGCCTTGGATGCAAGGAGTATGGCTTGTGGCAAAAATAACTGGATATTGTTTATGGTTGGTGGGGTTTTTTTTAGCTTACGCCCAAAACAATGCTTCATAGATACTCTAAGGAAATGTTACTGTTGGCACTTCGAAGTTAGAACTGGGAATTTTGCGGGTCCCCCCATCCCTGTGTCTGGGCTATGTATTGGCATTTACTAGTCCCTAAACAGCAGTTTTCTTTCCCAAGAGTTCTGTTGCTTTACCCTGAGATTTATGGAGGCAATGTGGTGAGTTGACAGGACGTTAATGTGCTCATCTTGGAGACACTGCGTGTGATCCCTCCCAGCCTGCTCCCTTGGAAGTGCCTGGGTGTTATTGTTGACTCTTTAACGAGGACAAGAAGGGTTTCCAAATGAGTGTGACTCATGCAATCTTAGCCTCAATCTATCAAACAACGATGCATTGGATTAAATGATTACTCAAAGGATTAGGAGAGTTGGGAGGAGGAGAGAAGCGAAGAGTAAAAATACATAGGGAATCTGAATTTAAAAAAAGCAAAAACACAACCAAAAAAAGCTGCAAGACACAAACCCCAAATGATCAGATAATGCTGATTCTGTGCTTGGTTCACGCTTCCAAAATGGGAGATGTTGTACAAATTGAATCTCTGCTTGCTCTAGAGATCATCCTCTGCCAAGAGAGTGATGCTTCACCTCATCCTGAGCCTTCTGCTCAGCTCCTGCTGCCTGTCAGGTACCTCAGATAGTGACATTGTTCTGATTGGATTTTCTTTTTCCTCTTTCCAGCTGAAAGTGAAAGTGCTGGCTGCGTGTTACTGCACACATCACGGAAGGTAAGTAGGGAAGCTGTGTGGTCAGTTTATTTTCATCATCTACAAGTACAGAAAAGGATTGTGAACACACCGTGGGGCTGTTTGTCACTGGCCTGCCTCTTTTCCCTGAATTCCTCTCCTTTTCTTCAAACATGAAAGTTACATGCTGCTCATTCTCCAAACAATTTCCTTGTAATTCTGATTGTTCCACTGCTTTTTGTCCCAGACAATTCCTTGACATGCTAATTCATCACTTTCTCTTCTGCAGTTGCCTGCACAGGGGTCCAAGCTATGCTCAGGCTGCTGAGCTCCTCTCAAGCTGAAAGCAGAGACACCCAATAGACATTGCAGGGATTTGGTTTCCTGTTTATTCCATCTAATCAGGTCTGCCT